CTGCCGCTGCAGGGTCGTTCCCCCCACATCCACCCCCCACGTTGCAGGGCTCAGTGAGGGTGGAAGGAAATCACTCAGCACAAGGTTATTCTACGGGGGGCGGGGGGGGCGCTATTCTTCATATTAATGGAGGCAGCATTTCTGCCCTGCTCCACTGGATGCCTGCTTCTGACTTTGGAAAGTATTTCCATAGCCAAATGGATCTGGGGATCCAGTACCAAATAGTGAGGTGACCCGCATAGCCAATTAGGGGCTCTTCCAGGCTCCCACCTTCCCTAGAGGTAGACAGCCCAGTAATGAAGGGCTCTGGTTTAAAGAAGCCTTAGCAGCGAGCAGCCACCTTGGAGAAGAATCCTGGACCACCCCCCAGGCCCCCAACGAGGCCCCGGGCCTCCTGCCGAGGACACTCCGTAGTGCTGGCTCCTGACCCTAAGGGGAGGCTCACTAACCTGGAACAGGAAACCCACCCGGACAAACAAAAATGAGCCCTGGGAGACCAAGCCGGCATAGGGACAGGCTTGTTACTCCTGTCCCAGTTTTCGTGACCCTGAGCCTGGCCAAGTGCCACTGTTTGCCTTTCAAGAGGGACATTGGTGCCTGACCTTCGCCTGCACTGGTAGTTTGCTTCTCCCGGGGCTTTATTTTACAAACACTAGCAGTTTCCTGCTATTGCGTCCTTTCTCACTTCCCAGGATAATAGGATTCTTGTCTGAAGCTTCCACCTGTTGAATTCTTTAAAGTATGTTGTTTTTTTTTGGTTTTTTTTTTTTTGACTTGGGAGTCTTATGTACGAACACACGAGCCACGCGTCGACATTTTGTTCTTACCGCTGGAATTTGTCATGCAGACCTGTCCGATTTTGAACGGTTCTTGAGGTACACAGCTGCCTGATAATGTATAGGATGCCCAGTTAAATTCAGATAAACCACAGAAATGTTTTTTTTGGACAAGTCCCATGCAATGCCTGAGACTGACTTAGACCCAAAAGTGGTTAGTTTGTCTATCTGCAACTCAGGTTTTGCTGGACAGCCTGTATTTGCATTTGCTAAATCTGGTGACAAGGTTGCCTAAATTAGGTTTGGAAGGTGCTTGTCTTCTAGATCGATGTCTCCATGGGGTCAGGTCTGCTTGCCACTGACTAGAGGAGTGCTTAGGGATGGTGGCGCGTGGAGGGGACGGCGGGGCCTCGGATTTGGACTTGAGCCTGTGCAGGAGACACCCCAGGGGCTGTCCATTCCCAGAGGGACAGGCTGGGTGGGACCTGAGCCACAGGGAGGCTGGACCCTTGGTTTATACTCTCCTGATGTACGTGCCATCTGATTTCAACCAGATGGTCCACAACCAGCATCCATGTCACTCATATGTAAGCAAATACGCCAGAAGAGAAGTTTTAATAATTAAAGCAAACCTTGAGACAATTCGAGGAGGAGAGATCCATGCAAAAGAAGCAAGAGGAGAAGTGGGTGCCAACCACAATGTGTCGGAAGCCGTGAGGGTAGAGAGTGTGGCCGTGACTTCGGGACGGGCAGATCCGTGGGATCCATGCACGAGTGTGGCCCAGGCTCAGACATGCGTGGGTATGGAGATTATAAGGTGGGATGAAGGTGACCTTCCGGCTCAGGCACAAAGGGCAGAGTGAACAGGGGGCCAGTTTATGGTCTCACCTCTTCCCTGTCCACCAATATAAATGTCAGTGAGATGAGCGAGGAATACGTCACGTCGGAAAAGAGACCAGAATAAAACATACACGACGCTCTCCGGTTTCCTGGAGAGAGGACAAAGGCAGTCATCAATCTTGCCACGATGAACTGAGAAGGGAAGTTCAGTAAACTGGCCTGCGTTGAATTACACTTCTGAGAATCAAAAATTCAGTTAAGACTGCAGACAGACAAGCTGGGAAAAGTGTTTGCAACAGACACGAGCAGACGGTTTCTTACATGTCAAGAGCTCATTCTGGAGGAATATGGAGGCACAAACACGAGTTTCCAGGGGGCAGAGGATGCCCACGTCCATGGGCCGGGTGCTCGCCCGGCTTTGCACTTGGTGTTGTAAGTAAAGCCTCCAGCAATCCCAGAGGGGGTCATCAAACCCATTTTATAGATGAGTCAGTTCCAGTCAGACTCCAGAGAACTGGCCCCAAGGGGGGCTCAGCTCCCGAGGGGTGGGGGCGGGCTTGGCTTGATTGGAGAGCCCTGGTGCGCTCAGGCGCTTGTCCCGCTGACCCATCAGAGGGTAGTCCAAAAGAAGAAGGACAAAGGGCTAAGAAGCTCTGGAAAATGGTCAACTTCGGTATTTGAGACCTGCACTGAAAACCACAGGCCGAGGCCACGGTTTACCTCTGGGATTGGCAAGAAAAAAATTCCAGAAAGATCACCAGTCTTCGGTCTGCCGCAGATATTATGAAACGGGCACTTCTCCTCTATTTTGGGTGGAAGGGTAAACTGCGTGAGCAAGATTTTGACAGTGTGTATCTAAGCTCAGAAAAAAATACGTGTGAAACCTTTGGTCTAGTGGTTCAACTTCCAGGGTTCTGGAAGATAATCCGGAATAATCAGAAATGCGGCCAGGGTTTTATGCACAGAGGTGTGATTGGATTGTTAGTTAGTACACCGTCTGAAACTTGCAACTGGCTGCAAGTGTGTACTAGAGTAGTTTAGAATCTGAAAAAAATATTTACCAAGGTTTGAAAATAGTATCTTGTCATGTTCATGGGGTCGGGGAGGCGGGACTCCGGATCGTTCACACCGTGTGATTTCCACGGTGTCTAGAGGTGCTAAGTCCCCGAGAGTGCCGTCAGTTACCCTACCTACTGTCAGGGGATTCAGGTACATTTTTATTGTACTTCTGCTCTATTTCCCAAAATTGACCTGCTTGTTTTAAAATTTGGAAAAGAAAGAAAAAATATTTATTCCGGATGGTAAAGAGCCGACCGCATGAAGGATTGCAGAAACGAGCTGGGGTGACCTCAGAAGGGGGTGCTGCACTGCATTTGGGGGTCTGGGAGGTACCACCTCATGCGCTGACCCTGACAACCGAGCTCCGTCCTCAGCACCTCCTCAGGGCTCCTCGTGGGTTTGCTCTTGCCTCCAGACCCTGTGTCCTGCAAACCAGCTCCTCTCCACTTTCCTAACCAGAAACTTCCATTCTTCGCTAACCACCTGCTCACTGGTAGGGTATGGGTTCCTGAAGTCATGCTGCTCGCCCACCCAGTGGAGTGGTCCAGGGCTTGGAAGTGCTGATGCAGATGCTTTGTTGCCGTGGGAGATTTCAGAAAGATAGGCTAAAATTCAGTAACATGTGTCATTTGATTATGAATCCATTTTTTTTTTAACCAGGATCACTTGTAACCCCCACGCGATCCCAATGTAACATACACGTTCTCCATAAGTAATTCAAACATTGCACCCAGACGTACCACGTTGGTGCATTTTTTTCTCATCTCTGAAAGAACAGACCAAAAACTGATAGGGTATCACCCGAGGGTGAAAGAAGAGAGGTTCATTTGAAGTTTTTTCTTTAAGCTTTTCTTTAGCATCTAGATTCTCAGAGTTAGCGAGTATTGCATCTGTGATTAAAAATCAAAAAGGAAGCTATTTTTTTTTTTTTGGAGAGAGACAAGCAGTGAAGGCACCCTCTCACACCTTAGGGCTTGGATCCGTTTTCTCCAGATTTTCTGGGGGCAAGTGTGACTGTGGTCTCAGGGACCGAGCTCCCTTCTGCTGAGTGGTAGATGGACTTCTGGACTCTTCCCAGTGGCCCTGTCTCTGCCTCCCCAATTCTGGCGAGCGCCCCCCCACCCCCCCGCACAGCATGGACCAGACCCCCGTGTGTGTGCATGCAGGTTGGCGTTCACACAGAGGAGGGAGTAGAGTATCATCCATCCGTTTCTACAGCCCCAGGCTAAGGCTCCGGACAGAGAACCACTTGCTTGCTGGGGAGCATTCAGGTGACAGAGCGACTTGTCAAAATGAATGAACTTTTTTGAGTTTCTTGGGCAGCGTGGGTGGGAAGGCACGTGGGCTCTGAACCCCACCGCCTGGGTTCTAATACCGGGACTGCCCCTTCCTGGCAGGGGGCAGTAAGGTGGACATAACCTTCCTGTGCCCGAGTGTCCCCAGCTGTAAATTGGGAGTCCAGCCCGGCACAGCTTGGGGGATATTCCACTTGAGACAGTTGGCAGTACCGAGAGGTCCCTTTGCATAGGTAGGGATGAGTTGCCTGCTCTTTGTGCCGATAGTAGATGTCCCTTGCAGACACAGTTCTAAGACCTAATTATGGCAGTAATCCACGTGCAGTGTAAAAATCTCAAAATTTCTCAAATCTGAAAGCGAAACTTGACCTCTTTCCATCCCATGTTAATTCCTGCTAGTATTCTAAGTGTGTAAATATGAAAAGGCCCATTTTCTTTCCCCACATTTTAACCTTTCATTGGCTTGATTATAATCTTCACGAAGACGTTTTTTCCTAGAGTTGTGGAATTGATTGTCACATTGCTGTTTTAACTTTTGCCTAAAATTTCTGTTCTGATCCTGACGTCTGAAAGAAAAAAAAAAATGCCGCTGGGCCCTTCTGCTTTGTAGAGGGGGCCAATTATAAAGCAGTCTCTGGATGTTTCCGTGCCAGATAACAGACCGCCTAGGGCTTGATTACCAGTAATTGTTGCAGAAAATGCATGTGCTCTGTGGAATGCTAATTATTTATATTCCGTGCTCAAATCCAACAGTTGAACATAATTCTTTTTGAATTGCTATTCAGGCAAAGCAATTTAAGCCAGAGACCTAGAGGTAACTTCTGTTCTGACGCCCTTGCTAAGCAGGTGGCACGTTTCCATGATTAACTTCCCTTATACGGTGTATTTTAAACAACTGACGTTTAAAAACCCAGAAGGTGAATACGGTGAAGTAGGAAGTTGAGGAAGGAGGACATACCGGGGGGGCTGGATGTGGACAAGAGTGAAGTGCTTCCTTTGACCGAAGCCTCTGTGCTCCCACCTTTTCCAGGACAAGGTGGAACAGACGCCCCCTCTTGGGCCACGAGATCTGCCAGGACCTGGCTTCCCTGCCCCGCCGGACCGGCTCACAAATCACCAGGGTAAGGAATGACAAAAACGCAGTGCCACGGATGCCCTAAGCCCCCGCTGCAGCTTTGCCACGGTGCGGGGACTCCGTATTGTACGAGACTGTTCTTGGCCCTCACCCGAGAAGGTTCCGACCTTGGCTCGTTTCCCCTCGTAAGGAAAACAAATTCTAAAACAGAAGAAAACAAAACAAAAAAACATGGTTGCGATATCCTGACCTACCAGTATCCCCTCCTTTTTGAAAGTTTGTTTCACGCTGCTTCACTTTCACGGAAGACCTACCATAGTACCTGTTTTTTGCTCACCTAAAGAAATCCAGAGAGGATTTCCGCTTTTAGAAAGAAAGACTCAGCGTTGCTTTTGGGGCGCCCGGGTGGTTCATTGGGTTAAGCGTCTGTCTTCGGCTCAGGTCGTGATCCCAGGGTCCTGGGATCGAGTCCCGCATCGGGCTCCCTGCTCGGCGGGGAGTCTGCTTCTCCCTCTTCCTGCCGCTCCCCCTGCTTGTGCTCTCTCTCTCTTGCTCTCTCACAAATAAATAACATATTAAACAAAAAAAAAAAAAAGAAGGAAGGAAGACTCAGCATTGCTTTTGCAGGGAGCCATTCTAGAGGGAGCGGGTGCTGAGCCGGGCAGGACGGCGGCCCCGCCAAGCCCCTTCCCCCTGAGCTGCGCTCAGCATTTCAGCATCCACCATCAGAGCTGTGAGCACCTGCGGTTTATCTCCACGTCTTTTGTTCATCCGTTATCAGAGGAGGCTGAGACGGGTGGTTTTTGGCTCTTAGAACGCTCCCCAAATTTGTCCTATGAATTAATGGTAATTGCTTCTTTGTCTTACACCGTTTCAGCTTAGGAAAGGTTTCACTGGAATGCTGAGCTCCGAATAGCGAGGGGAAACCTGTATTTCTGTTCTGTGAGCCAACCGCAGTGAACAGAACTTCAGAATCAGTTCCACATGAGTTTTCTCAGGATGCAACATGAAGGGAACCCGATGTTACCTGTCGGGGGCTCCTCCATGGTGCAATCCTCTTGATGTTGGCGTGTGTATATTTGCACTCAGGCTAGTTTTGTGTGTCTGCGCTCTTGGTAGTTCTCTGCCTTGCTATGATTCTGTTCCTGTTATATTAATTTCTGACGGGATTATCATGGGAAAGAAAGGACAGGGGTTAAAAGCGAATTAGGTCCAACGATGCACGCGTTGTTATGGGGGTGGGGGTGGGGAGCCCGCGAAGGGAGGCAGTCTGACTGGGGGTGGGGTCAGGAAAAATGCCCACAGCTCAGCTCATGGTTTGGACTACTGGAGAGGTTAAGTACAATACATTGTAGGCTTTAGAGCTGGGAGGCATTAGAATAATAGGATTTTTAAAATGGCTTAATCAGAAAGAGGTTGAAATTTAGCAAAAAATAAGAGCTGGGAGCTTCCCATGAAGTCAAAGAGCTGTTTTCTCAAGTGTTAGAAGCCATGTCAAACAGTTGGGAATTTCTGTGTCAAGCATAATGTTAGGGTCATCTTTGAGAACCCTTACAACAAGAAAGAAACCCGATTTATTCATATTGGCTTTGCAACTTAGGAACATTTTAATTGATTACATTTCACTGATTACTAGGGGTCTCATTTAAACTGAAATAATCAAAGTTTGGGTAGTAATGTTTATATAAAAATCTACGTTGATGCTTTAATCCAAAAGTTAGAAAAAAAATTACACGGAAAGAACTTTTTAAAGCTTAACGCTTGGGACGCCTGGGTGGCTCAGTCAGTTAAGCGTCCGCCTTTGGCTCAGGTCATGATCTCAGGGTCCTGGGATCGAGCCACACATTGGGCTCCGTGCTCAGCGGGGAATCTGCTTTTCCCTCTCTCTCTGCTTCTTCCCTGCTTGTGTTCTCTCTCTCTTTCTCCCTGTTAAATAAATAAGAATTTTAATAAATAAATAAATAAATCTTAAAGTTTTTTTAAGGTTTAAAACTAAGATGTATATTCAAGTATCCCATGGATCTCACAGCTGCTCAGTGAGTGCCCATGAGGGTTGAGCACAGAAGGTGGAGCGGGCTTCATGCCGAACAGAGCGGATTCCCTTCCTTGCCCCAGAGTTACATGCCAGCTGCTGAAGCTGAGCGTCGAGCACGTCCCAGCACCTGAAGCAGGGCCAAAGGGAACGAATGAATGCATCTCCACCTGTGACCTTGAACACCTTTCCCTCCGATCCTCAATAATTCTGCACACGTTGCACGTAAAACAGGGAAATCAGAAGGACTCATGCAAGCTGGGCCACGGGACAGATGTTTTTAGAGAGTGAGCAGTGCCCATGCTTATTTCCACCGGGCTATAGAAGAACGCCAGCAACGGAGGGCAGTTCAGTTCGGGGAGCCAGGCACGGCTGGCGGGCCCAGGCAGCCTTCTGAGAGACAGCAGTGGTTCCGAGTGCCCTGCTCCATCCCCACACCGGAGGGGGTGGCAGGGCGCAAGCCACCCCCAAAGAGTCTGCAAACTGAAGTCCCTACACACTGAGAAATACAGCCACCAGAATCACCAGACCGCTGCTTTCCACATGCAGCAAAGATGGGTCTGACCATGGCTTTGAAAAACGTGAGTGTGTCCTGCTCAGCGAAGGTGAATGAAAGCACGGTGTCCTAAAGGACAGACCGAAATGCAGTGGGGCGATGGGGCGGGGTGGGGGGGCATGTTTTAGAAGTGAAATATATAGTTATTGGCATTTTCAAAGTTCCGGATTCAGTCTAAGGAGAATTAATGAGTTGGCATCACCTCCCGACAGCACAGAGAGACCTGGGAAACTCAAGTGGGCCATTGGACACACACACCCACATGTCCTGGAGCATGCAGGGGGAGGGAGGGGAGGAATTTGAAGAGAGGCTGGTGGCAATTAGCCAGAACTGGACAGACAGTCCCCAGACGGGGCTCAAAAAACCAAGAGGAAAAGGGAAGACTAATCCACATTGGGAAGCATCTAGGAAGATTCTGGAAATCCAAGGCAAAGAGAAGGTCTGCGGCGAAAATGCAGACTTCCCAGCGCCTGAACACCCATCGGACAGGCAGCCCACACGTGCCCAGCAAGTGCCAGAGGCTAACGCGGGTGTTCTCAGAGCGCTGCAGGGAAAGTGACCGTCTGTCTGCAAGTTCACACCAACAGGTACTGAAAGCAAAGAAGGCTTTTTCAGGCAAAGATTGAGAAAATCTGTTACTGTCGGTCTTCTCTGAAAGATTTATTGAAAGTTGTACTTTAGAAAGAAGATCGTGAATGCCTTGCAAGGCGCCGAGTGGGGGACACGTAATGCGTGGAGAAAGGGGCGCCATGTCACAAGGTCAATTCCATACGAATTGTTAAACTAAGGTTAAACTGAACTTCTGATAATTAGATGCCCTGAGTGTGTGTGTGTGTGTTGAGGTTGGTTCTATGCGTGGTTATATCATAATACCATTTTAGGGTTTTTTCCATGAGCAATTATACAATAAGACTCCAGTTAGGAGAAGTAGAACGTAAAACAATTTGAGACTGCATTAGAAAAAGGTACGCTTAGTTATGTATTCTGAAGATTTTATTTATTTATTTGAGGGGGCAGGCAGAGGGAGAGAGAGAATCTCAAGCGTGGAGCCTGACACGGGGCTCGATCTCATGACCCTGAGATCATGACCTGAGCCGAAACTGAGAGTCAGATGCTCAACCAACTGAGCCACCCAGGCGCCCCCTTACTTACATATTTTAAAATCTTAGTTGCAACTAAAATATTGACTGTAATTACTGAAACAATACACGTATATAGTTTCTAACCTAGCAGAAAAAGATATAAGGGAATCTATATTTAATAAAAACAACCAACATCAATAGAAAAGGAAGAGAAACAAGATGTGAAAAATAAAAAGGATGTCAGGTGGAAAATACAAAATATGTCAGTCATCCTAGTCCTATCTGTAACGGTATTAACAGGCTCGGATTAGTAGAAACATATAGAACCCTGCACCCAACAGACTCTTGATTCTTTTCTAAAATCTGTGTAGCTTTTTAAAAAGTCGACCACGTATGGGAAACTGCTCTAAATTTTATGTTTTAAATATATTTTTTTGCACTAAATTTGAAGCAATCTATTTCATGCAAGCCATGTTCTTTGATCCAGTGTGAGTAAAATTGGAAATCAACAGAAAAAGTTCAAAACAAAAATACATAAACATGTGTGTGGAAACTTTAGAACACACCGTTGCCCCACTCGTGGATTACAGCAGAAGTCACAATGAAAGTACCAGTCATTTAGAATTGAGGGAAAAATGCGTGTACTGCAGGTAGAAAATTGTATAAAGTGTTCGAGACTCCATTTGTAATCTTGGCAGAAAAATGGAAATTAGGAGCATGACAAATGAAGAATGCTAAGGAATATAGAGGAAATAGTTACAAAAACTGAGATCAGAAATTAGGGGAATGATGAAGAAAGTATCGATAGGTGGGAACAAAACCAAAACGCAGTCCTTTGTAAAATCTACCAAAACTGCAAACCTCCAAGCACAGACACTCTTGAGGAGGATGGGCGCACAGGAAAACCACATGGAGAGCACGCCAGGAAGTTCAAACAATAACACAAGAAAACCATGAGCAAGTTCATCCCTGTGACTGTGCAAATATGAGGGAAATGGATAATGGATCGCAAAAACAAAATGGCAACATGCAATGCTGACAAGGATGTTGGAGCCACAAGAACTCTCATTCACTGTCGGTGGGAATGCAAAATGGCACAGGTGTTTTGGAGGGCAGTTTGTCAGTTTCTTGCAAAACTGAGCTTACTCTGACCATATGATCCAGCAGTTGCACACCTTCGCTCTTACGCAGAAGAGTTGAAAGCTTATGTCCACACAGAAGCCTGCCTACACAGGGATGTGCGTGGCTGCTTTATTCATAACTGCCAAAAAGCTTGGAAGCAACCGTGACATCCTTCATTAGAAGAACGGATAAATAAGCTGGTCCATCCAGACAATGCAGCGCTAAGAGGAAATGAGCTATCAAGTCACAGAAAG